AAGGGCAGTGAGTACACTTTTTGCGGTCACACACTACTACCATGCCTGCGTATAGTCGTACAGACTATACACGTATGTGGTGCCAACTGGGATTTCCTCAGCAAACTCCTGCTGTGGTCCTGGTAGCTCAAAACCCCTCGTGAGCCAAACCCCTCTAACACAGTGTATTTTGGGTTTCTCCCAAACTTCTGCAAAAGGGTGATTAGCTCATGCAATCGGACGGAGTGCAGAAAGTAGGTAGGATCTCTGCAGACGACCTGCCTGTCTGACAAGCCGTATCTTAATGGCAAATAAGCACACGGAGCTCCAACCGCACTGCCTTTTTCTCTTAACAGCAGTTCCAAACTTAACGCTTTCAGCTAAAAGCATAAATTTCCAGGAGAGTGCCGGGGGACAACGGGACGCATTACCTGTTAGTAAACTACCCGGGCCATACAACACACCTCTTCAGTCTGTGCTTTGAATTGTCCTGAATTGAAGCTATTGCACATCGCGACATCCATCTTTGTAAGCCAGTAAAATATTGTCATGTAAAAACGCACGTACCTACTTAAAATAAAAGCTTCTCACCGTTAAGTCACAAGCCCCAGTGTGATTGTTTGGGCCAGGTGACGTGGGCAACTGTTGGCTTCTCAGAGGTGCACACACGCCTCTCCCCCCGCAAGCAAAGCAAACGCTCAGAAGCGGCGAGGGACAAGCACAGGCTCTCGATCCTCCTCCTTTACGCAGGGCGCTTGTTTCCCCAGGAAGGTCGTGTGCTCTCGTGGCACGGGGGTTTATAAATAACCTTGTGTGGGAAGAGCAGTGGGACCTGCGGGGAGCTGTGTCCCTTCTGGAGCAGGTCTCTCCGCAGTTGCGGTGGGGTGCCAGGAGAAGAGTCAGGCTGGCAGGACTAACTGCTTTGAAAACCAGAAACATCTGCTTTCTCACATGCTGTGGTGACTCCAGGGTTTAGTTCATGGACGAGTTGCTGGGGTTCCACTGTTTTCTCTCTTGCTTACATGTACCATCTTGTGCAAAACTAACCAAATAAAATGGAAGGATTCCCCTGAAAGAAGAGTGGATTTTCAGGACAAGATTAGCCACAATATTGTGTATTTGCATTTTCCACACAGAATCTCTGTGAATTCTTCAAAACTGAACTAAGCACAATGCGACATCCCGCCCACCTTCTCTGAGCAGGTCTTTTCTTTCTGTCCTCGCCAGCCTATCTTCTACTTTGCTCCTTTTCTTTAAACTCTCTGTTTTTGCCCAGTTCCACCTTCCTCATCTCCCTCAAGTCCTCTCCTTTACTAATCTTAAATGACATTTATGGTCCCTACTTATCTACGGTCAAAAGGCCAAATTCTGCTTTCTGTTCAGCCATGATGCCGGAGTTTTTCACCCACTTTTAAAGTATGTATATTCCTGTTTTCTCCAATGCTACTGTTCAGGTTTGGAAACAGTCCCCTACAAACACATGTGAGCCCAGCTAACTTCTCATTTCCTCTTAAAACCCTCCTTCGGAAAAAATCAAATGACAACAGTCGCACTACCAATTTGTTGAGATTCTCACCAGTCGCACCCATTCATCAGGTCGTACCGTTCCTCTGCTCCCATCATCTGTTTCTTGTCTCATATTTGGACTGAAAACTATTGGTAGCACGTACCCTCTTTGATATTCAATTAAGAGTCGACTTTCTATAGTCAAAGCATCCCTTTATATATGGAAACAGGAGGAATATAATCCTACTATAAAAATTAAACCAAACCCAGCATGTTTTAAGTAAGCACATATATGTATAAAATATACATACATGTATGCATATATATAAACACATATAGTGTTTGTGTGTTCATGTGACTCTCCTAATAAAATAATATTTATACTTATTTATATAAAATACTTATTACTATGGCTACCCAGTTAAAGCTAATCTCATGTAGGTTTTTCTTGTGGAAGAACACACACAAGAAATTAATTGCACTTATGAATCAAAAAACTCTGTTAGTTCAAATGAATACTGTGCATTTATTTATCCTCAAACAGATGCAGTTCCCCTACAATATGGGAGTTGTAGTTCTGAGTGTTTTCAAATTCGGGTGCCTTTACAACTGCATAGATACTCCAAATACACGTTTGAGAGATGGGAGTCTTGGAATACAGACTTTTAATGTTCTTCAACAAACTCTTAGCTCCAGTTAAATTCATCAAACCAACACATAAACATTCTCACTCTCTGTATATATATGTATGTATACACATATATATGCACATACATGTATATGTGTGTGTGTATATACACACACATACACAAACAGGAGAGCCAAAAATGTTGCCATTCGCCCAGTACCTTGCAATATGTTTTGCTTCCTTGTTCTTCTGTTTCAGAGATAAATAATGAGACCTTTTCTCCATCACATGTTCATAAAGGCACCGACAAGCGCTAGACAGCACAGGTCGGTACATGAACCAGCTGTGACAGTCCACGTGCTCACGTAAGTAGCAAGCAACTTCTAACGCTTGTTTTGGGAGAGGACAATGGTTTTGGTAGATACGGAGCCCAGTCATTCTGCATCTTAGCAAAAAGTTAAGGCTTGAGAACCTGGCGGCTTATCAGGCGGATTTTCACAAATACAAACCTCGCTGTGAGCGTATTTCAAAGTATCACATAACCGTCTAGGAAAGTCCCCAATAAATTACTCCAACTTTGTCTCAAAAGACAGCATTCCTAGTCTAGTAGAGAAATTTTAACAGCAGCAACAACTTTTATTTCAAAATACCAAATCTTGGCTTTACTAAAACAAGCTTGAATTTCCTAGGGACTTAAAATCCGCTCCGTAGAAAAGTATTCTGCATTCTCTCACTGCCTAAAAAATATCGTTGGGTCACACACAAAATAGAAACTGTGCAATGAGATATTCAAAACTGTATTGGACAAACACTGCGTAGGCTGTGAAGAACATGCTCCTCACATTGCCAGAAATGGTCCATGAAAGTTTCACCATCAAGTAGAAACCCGAGTTGTTTTCCAACTCTAATGTGTGAATCTTTCCTCTTTGGTTCTTGCACGAAACAGAAACTGTGTTCAACGGCACCGAGACCCCTCCGTTTACCACTTCTTTTTTTTTTTTTTTTTTTTTTAAATTGGAGATCACAACCCTGGAAGCATTTTGAGCACAAACTGTTCTCACAGATGTCAAGGGGAGTTTTCCACTGACATCACCGAGACCTGAATTTTACCCTTTATGTTTGACCATGTTTTGCGAAATGCCCAGCAAAATGGGGTTTTCTGAACAACTGTGACGTTTGGATACCCCCTGTATAGATAATAGTAAGAAAGGATTTAGACTTGGAGAATATGCACTCATATGTCCCGGGTGCTACTCAACATGTTTTAAAATTCCAAGGAATAAATGCTCTTTGTGCTTGTCTCCAGAGCAGAGCAATGTCTGAAAGGGCATAGGTCAGATTTAATTTACTCTGGGCTAGGTGGACCTTTATTTCCTACAGACAAAATTTGACTTCTGAAGTAATTCACTAGTCTTTATTGCTACTTTTGATAAAATATTTGTGAAGGAAGAATCTGCAGGTTTCAAAATTAAAACCTGTACTTGTTTAAAAACATTTAACTAGTTTACATACACAAATTATTGTAGGGCTTTTTTTCTTACATTTGCCCTTTCCTTTGTAAGGCAGCAGGTTTCCAGAGTTCTCTGGGTACAGAAACATCCCTAGCCTACACACACAGAGAGCCACTCAGCTTCACACAAACAAAACCTTTCAGTTAAAAAGCAGACCCTGCCTAAATAATGTGATCATAGCAGCAAGCCAAACACTGGAGGAGGTTGATCAAAGCCCAGGAAAACACACATTCAAAAACCCCCTTATTTCACCCACTGGAAAATACTAAAAAATATACAGAGGACATTGACTTTATTAAAAACTATGTCATGTGCCGAAAGCTGCACAAATTTGATGTCATTTCTGGATAAGGACCAGTATGCCTGAAGGACTTTTTTCAATTTTATCAGTCAAAAAAAAAAAAAAAAAAAAAAAAAGGAAAGGTACCTCCCTCTCCCTAAATCTTGTCCCGTAATTTCCCAGTATATTTTCCAGGCCAAGTGAGACTGCGCAGGTCTGTACTTTGGTACACACATGTTCATTTGGATGTTCAAAACATCCTTTTCTCTCCTGTATTCTTTCACCTCCTCCCCTTTGCAGCTGCTGTTGCCTTTGTTATGCTTCTGATGACCTCTATGTTATTCTTAATGTATGTATGTATTAAATATGCCTGTGTGTATATAAATAGACACATACATATGTACAAACAAAAGCACATACAGAAACATACATTAAATGCTTGAGATACATGAGTAGATTGGTTTCACGGAGTCACGGTTTGGAATCTCGTATTACTTCAGCTTGGTTTTATAGAGATGTTCACTTCTCTCCACCCCACCTCCTGAAACTCCTAAGGTGCTAATACTGAGCAATTCTGAGTCAAGCCAAGTAAGTTTATTCATCAATCTAAAATTCAAAACCAATATTGTACTACCTTGGCATTAGCATCCTGCTACCTCCTGTGTTAGACTGAATCACCCTTAAGGTTAATATTCCAGTCTATGATCAACGGTAAGTTGCTTCAGACAGTGCGGATTCAGCAAATACAGGGTCATCCACATCTCTGACAGTAGAAAACTAGAACTATATATAGAAAAGTTAGCTTTTTGTCATTTTCTTTTAAGACAGTATGTAGCCAGCTCAATAAAATGAAACCAGCACACAGGAGACCGAACATACATCCATCGTTATAGAAGCCTGTCTGAATGAGACATGGAAGTCATTCAAATCACTTCAGTTCTAATCTTATTGTATCATTTGATTCACCTTTATTGCTTCCAGTGAGTATCTTCATGACCTGTATCTGAATAGCAATTTATTCAGTTTGTAAAATTCTAATTTACAGTGGTCACTTACCATAGCTTGCAATATGCACATGAATTTTCTCGCATCCTACCTGTGTATTATGTGCTGAATGACAACTTTTATTTAAAAAGGAATTCAAGAGAGAAAATATTACAGGCATTAATAAAACTTTCTGAAGAATGACATAGTAGTCCCTTAACCCTTTACTGAGCTGAAAACGAAGTGATCTTCAAATCTCTTATTACTGTAATCAAAAATCAAGTACTGCAAAATAACATGTAAGCTAGAGAAATTAGACTGGTAAATGAAAAAAATACGATTTTTCTTGATAGGTAAACCTAGTCGCCGTGGTTGTTGGAGCTTCTTTTCCTAGTCATTAAGTCTGATAACATGTCTAACAAGGATTTACAAGAAAAAAACCACCTACTTTATTTTAAAAATAAATTTAGGTGATATCCAGTAATAAGTAGAAACTAAAGTTACTTTGAAAAGGATAACCAGACTAGAAACCACCAAGTGATCTGAAGGCTTGGGAACAGTTCACGTCATTCATTAACATCACTTTGAATCACCAGTCACACGGAGCCAGTTTCTCCTTTCTGATGCTCTTGTGGGGACGACCTTCATGAGTCTGTCCAGCAGGTGGCTTTGATCCTCTTTCAGACGTGTACAAACCCATCAAGTGAAGTTCCTTCACACAGAAAACCATCAGTGCTGCAGTAGAAAATTAGTGGCTACATTTAAGTCATTATTTGAAGCCCTCAGAGCTTCTAGAGCATCTCCCCTGGAAAATCCCATTTCCATAAGTCGTGCAACCTGGAAAAGAAATAACATAACACCGCTTTAAAACCAGAGTTTTATTCACACTGTGTGTGCATTAGTCACGTTAACAGTGTCAGAGATCACTTTTCCACTGATCAGGCTGTTCAAAAGCTTACCTTTCCAGAAAGTAAGCAAGCATGGCTATGCACCGCCAGAAAGATGTATCTGGGACAGCATGCTTGAAAACATTGCCACAGAGATGACTGCTTTCTGATACTTTATTCAAAACCAACCGTTTGCTGAAAATGCCACACCTGTATTTTCCTAGCTGGTTCAGTTTTGAAAGAAGAGTAAAATAGAAAGTATGGCATCACACATGATGATCACACAATCTGACCTTGGGGCTTGCTGCTCTCGACAAGAATAGGACCTCAAGAACCCAACACTGATGAAAATACGGAATTTTATAGCGGATGCGAAAACCTGTCCAGACATCCTTAGCTCTATTTTCCTTGAAAAGACCTACTTCTCCAGAGGGCATTAAAAAACCAAAACCATTCAGCAAAGCCTGAAAGTTATCCCTAAAACGGAGGCAGTACAATACTTAAATGGGCTCAGTAAAATTCTCGGAAGGATTCTACATATTCTCAAAACAGCGTAAGTCAATGACATTTGATGGAAGAATTACCTGGAAAAGGGCACATTAAGACAATGATTTTTGGTAATCAATAACCACTTGACCATCCCTCTTTATAATATCACGTACTTGACACCTAACCTTTTTGCTCTGTGCTAACAGATACTCAAATTACCACATGTAAAAAGCAATGTATGTATAACGAAATTTAATTTATCATTAAATTCCAATCGAAACTACATTTAAAATCTACAATTCTCAATTAGGTATGTCTGAAAGTCACAATATAAACTCATTCACTTTTATAGTTAATCTTCCAGAGAGGGGAAAAACAAGGGGGGGGAGGGCAGGGAGCGGCATATAAAATTAACTGTGGCCACTGGCAGCATAAAGCATTCCCCATCCTGCTCCAAATGGCCTTGCAGACCAGACACCACAGCTCCTGAACCTGGACGTCCTGGGCCACAGGAGCTGTCTAGAGAACTACCACTGCTCCTCCTCTGCTTGTAGGGAGCCTGCAGCAGCAGAATGAAGCTGAGCAGGAACACAGCAGGGGCCGTTTACATCTCAGGAGGAATCTTCCCAGGGCGCAAGAGCGATATGCGCTAGTATTAGAAGTACTTTAAGCGCCTTTTAAAAGAAAGGTGCCATTAAAAGCAACCTCGCCTTCCTCTAAGACACCTCCAGTATTTTTAATCTTCTCTGCTTTGGTGGCTTACCGAAAAATACACTACTGCCAAGTATGCTCGGAGGTGGGGGTCCTCCTTTTCTTAATCTAAATACACCGTTACAAAATGTTTGAAAATGGCTACCTTGGTTGTCAGAATATCAAATATGGTACTGATCATTTTTGTGCCTTCCCCCTTTCTCCCTCCCTTACAACCCAATGTCGGTTTCTCACCTTCCTGTAGAGAGAGAAATGAATTGTTACTTTCGACACCTCTGCAACTATAGCATAACTTCGAACTGGATTTCATAACCTGTAACTTTCTAAAGTTTCCTCTATCTGATTTTTCATCTAAGACTGTGTTTTTTATGAGAAAAAGGGCAGGCAGTAGAATAAAAGCTAACCACAGAAATACGCTTCAGAAGAAAGGTTTTTACTGCAGTTGCCATGAATTCTAACCTTAAGAAGTGGTGGATGGAATTGCAATGTTCCCATTTACAGAAATATCCAGCGAGCATCACGGGGAATAGATGGTAACAACAAAAAGCTCTTTTCATTCGAGTATATTTTAACCACAGGAACTGAATCCAGCTCCAGGAAACAGAGGTATATACTGGTAACAGTAATTTAAGGTGCTAAAAACCCCACAAGAAATGCAGAGATTTTTGTACCAAAGCATTGCAAATGCTTGCAAATTTTGATCTGAAGAACAGAAGAAAACCTTGCATTTCTGCCATTCTAAGACAACTTGTGCAGTTATTAGTACAGTCCTGAGAAATCAAGATTACTTTTTTCTTTGCAGGGTAACTAGACAGAATGGCAAATGACAGCAAACAGGTGAGCTCTACAATTTCAATGCATGAGAAAATATAAGCATATATTGCTTTCATAAAGCTGGGCCTAAAGGCTTTGGGTAAGAATTCAGCATAAGTCAGACTAGTAACTATTTCATTAGTTCCAGCCCAATAATAAAAGTTCCCATAAGCAGAATTTGTCAATAAAACAAATAAACAAACCAACCTAGCAGGGAAATCTTTTGGTCCACCCCATACCTGACACTGGGTAGGCTTTCAGGCCGGCCAAAACTAACTTTCTGGGTTTTGTCTCAGAAGGTGTTCTTTGGTGTGGAGTTTTGGGGTTTTTTTTTGTTGGTTGTTTTTTTTTTGCCTTTTTGGATGTAGCCCAGGAGGTTTGCAGTCAAAACCACCAGTGCAGTTAAAATTTTGAACATTTTGAACATAGTCTAACATTGAATCAAAACTAGAAATCAGATCATAGCAAAGATTTCTGTTTGGGACAAGCTCATTTTAAACTAACTAGAAATGACAGCATGGTGCTAGCAAATGTTGATTTATCCCCCACCAGAAAAAGGAAAAAGGGAAAGAAAAACTCACCCTTGAAACCTACTCTTGTTCAAGGGTAGCAGAGACCTTAGACTATAAAATGGCAAATGCAGCTAACTGCAGATAGGCTACAACCTGGAGAACTTGACTGCATGCAATAAATCCTGAATACAGAAATAAGACTAATCTTAAGTTCTTGAATTTCCTAGTAAATCATCGTGTCTTTTGAGAATAAAACTATCCACAAAAGTCTAAAAGTCTAAATGTATATAGTAAGTCTAAATCTATACTTGACGGAAAAGACACAGACTTCTCTGTGGCATCAGTATGTGAAATCAGTCAACCACATCATTGAGGGAAACATCCAAGTTTTAGACCAAGTGTGTGTTGCAGTCCACAGCTGGCATAACATTGTTATTTCCAAAAAACTACATGACTGAATTGGAAACTTAAGGTGGAGACCTCAGTGAAGGAAAATTTGCATATCAACAGGACAAATAATGAAATCCATTTGTCATTCTTCCTTCTTTGAAACATGTATTTTATCAGATTTGAATAGCCCCCACTAGTAAAACTGTCTCATCTCTAAATACAAAGGAAAAACAGTTACACATAAAAGCAGAAACTCCCTAGCTGATCTGGAACTCTGGTTTGGATTATAATGACAGTTTGCTGTCTCTGTATTGTGACCGTTATCTGATGTTCTAATTTGTGCTGCTATAGAGAACGTTTAAGAAACTGTGTCGACAGATGATAAAAAATTAGTAGAGGTAATTCCTAAGCAGTTTTTTAATGCCATTTTAAAATAGAAAAATGTTTACCTGCTCTTCAGAAACTTCGGTAGGTGGAGGTGTGTCTTGTTCAGATGGGCGATGATCTTGATAATTCGCATTATGTCTATGACGTAAAGGAGGAAACAGTCTATTCCAGTTAATCATCCCACCCTGAAACCAGACACTGCTGTCAGTTTTTGCAAAAAGAACTACAGATATTTTTAAACAAAAAGATCATCCATCCTACATAATACAAAAGGCAAATGTTTGAGTAAAATACGTTATTTTAAACAACATATACTGCTGCAGTCTCTTATGAAGTCAAAATTGGGACTGATCACTGCTTTACTAGTTATTAGAAGTAATCACTGTAAATTAAGGAAAAGTGCTAACAGAAGGAGGAAAGGATGTTTCACATCCATTGTGAAAGATTTGGTTTACTACAGTGCTAGATTTCTGAGGCTGAAGGACCGTTCTCTTTACTGATAGGGATTTGCCTGGCAGAGATGCAACAGCGGGTCCTGCAAGTGCTTTGCAAGACTGCTGCTGGAGTTAACCAGGGAAAAAGAGTGCAAGAAATAAGTGGGGGAATAGCAAAACTGGATTCTCAGGGCATCAGCAAAACCACATCAGGAAACTCAGAACAAGCCCAACCTTCAGGATACCTGTGACTTCCATGCAAGGAATTACCTCTGTGACGTCAACGCGACTGTTACAGACACACAGACCACCTCACCTAACTTCTGCATATTAAATACCGTTGCAAAATTTGGCTGTATTCCAGTGCCAAAACATTTTGTAACTACATAGTAATAATACAAATACACAGCAGTAACGTACGTACGGTGTAAATCACAGAAACGAAACTTCCTTTTAACAACCAAGCTTCAAGTCTTGTAATAATAAGACATTTAAAATATGAAGTACAAATACTAAAGTACAAGCCTTATAATTGTCCAGAACTAATGAATCCTCATTTTGTTAGCTTAAAACAAATATTTTTTAAGGGATTGTGTTCCACACCAAAACCACAGGCCCTGCCAGCAGGGAAGAAGAGCAAACCGCAGATCTCTCTTTTCTATACAATTTGTTAAAACATCTTTTGCAGTTTGTGTTGTCCTTTTCCTCCTCCCCTGCTCCCTCCGTTACTATGGAGAAGATCCCCCTCCCTTTCTGTATATATAGGACATGGACTTCCTTCCTCTAGTTGCTCTATTTTAGTTCTATACTGTTGTTTCTCAGAAGACCTTCCTCTTCAGAGTTTTTTCTTTTCTTCTCTCAGCGAGGGCTCTTCCTGCCTTTATGTATCCCTTGAGCATTAAATGCTCTCTGCTCAGTCAGATCATCAGCAGCTAAACCTGCTCCTAGACCAAAAAACAAAATCGTTTATTTAGTTTTCCTGCCCTTTCCTTTGTTTTCTTCCTTTCTCTCCAGAGGAGACCCAACCAGCCCAGACACCACAGGGGGCAGTGCAATAGCACGCTTCAAAAAGCATTTGGGGAGTCACGAGATTTGAAACGCTAGCTTGTGAAGTGTCCCAGTCCCTTATATACTAGAGCGCATTTTTCCCTGTGAAGATATGCAATAGCTAGGAGTCACCACTGGTTTTCAAGACATAGTTTCTTTCCACTGTGATTTTGAATTTAAAAAATGATTACGTATCTACATTTTTGTTTTGCGTACCGTATAAAACATACTTATAAGTCATAAGGTTTTAACCAAAGGATTCTGTGTAAGCCTTGCGTTAGCCAAACAGTGTAGCATAGTAAAAAGAAGAATTGGTCTGTAGTTTAAACCCAGAAAGGGATCTTTAGACCTTCTACTGACACCGCTGCACTACTCCGTGGTCTTGGAAAATCACATGTCCTGTACTTCCCCATCTATAATTTCCCCTAACTCAGAGCTATGTTGAGTTTTAATTCATTAACTTTGAATTTCTGAAAGTCTACTAAGCTCTATAGTTCAGCAAGAACACTGCACTAATGCTGCTTTGCCTATTTTTATTATTTTGAAAAGACCTGAGGAGGAGAAAATAACGCTTCCACGGGTCATTCACATTAAATTGGTGAATTGAAAAATGCCAACAGGATTATGACATGTTCCTTTGAAGCACCAGAAGTCAGAGTAATGTATGTGAAATATAAAATCTACAATAAATGTATTAATTTAGCAGTATTCCACAGTATCTGAAGACTGAAATAAACGTACCTTTCCAGCTGTGCCCTCAGCTTCAATACTGAGCTGCCTATTCCAGTTTGGTTTTGCATCCTCCCTGTCCTGTGCGCTATCACCTAACACTACCAAGAGACTTGTCTACTTCCTTACCCTAAACTTACAATGCATTTTAAATTAACATACACAGAATTCATTCCTTTCAATAAAAAAATGCATATTCCTTACAAAGGTAACTATTTAGTTTTGAAGGTTTACAGCAGATACCTTGATAAACTACAGAGGTGAACTGATGTATTCAGAAGAGTTCCATGTGAAGACTGCTAACCCCTTCCCACAAATAACAGACTAGGCAAATTAGTTCAAAATAGTTGTGAAAAGATCTTTTTCAGTTGCCCTCAGAATATTTCAGTTACCTTTGGAAATTGTGACAAACATAACCCACCAGTTCTTAACTATATTAATGAGGTAAGAATATACCAACATACAACAACAACAAATATTAAAGGCTGAAACTCTTAATGGTATGTGAACACTGATGTTTAGGATTAATCCCAACATTATGGTCCACTTCTCATCTGTGTATTACTTTACAAACTGCAGCAAAACCAGGCACATTAGACTTCTTTATCGTAACTAAAGAAAATTGTTTCCCCTCACAGACTTGCCTCTAATTACATGATGGACATGCACAAAGTCAGGCTCAAAAGAGCAGAGATTCAGGGAACTGCAGCAGAAACTATGGGACTGGTACTGTGGCCAATCTCATAGAGTAAAGGTAAGGAAAAATCAGGAAGTGCAGCTAATGTCTTAGATCCACAGAAGGTGGAGATCAAGGCTATTTCCAGTGTGGATGGTGACTGTGTAAAGACTTTCAGACAACCTTAACTATCACAGCAGAAATACATGAAGATCTGTGAATTTTAGTGTGACCCAAAGCAAGCAGCAAAAAATGTCTTAAATTAAGTAAATATCGTGAATTCCAGTTAAAAAATGTGCAGGAGATTTCCAGACCAATACTCCACCTTGTCTCACAGAAATTATTTTGCAGACCTCCCCTTCATAATTTTATGATGATTTCTGTATTACAGTGTTTTTTGACCGTGCTAACACACTTACTCTGCGAGAAGTCAGGAAGATTTCACATGAAGATATCCAATCTGATTAATTTATTTAAGTGATCCTTCTAAACCATCTGAGAGTCCCTTCTGGGGAATCAGCAAACAGTATTTACGCATTTCACAATATACTTGAACCCTGGCACCAGCACCCAACAGCACAGATGAGCTCACACCCATCTCCTTAACCTCCATGGGAGCCTTGTCTCAGATAACAGAGCTCTCTGGAGTGGTCCAAAACAGAAGCAGAAATAATTAAGCAGTGAGGATGATCAAGGATCCAGTATGTAAGCTCCTTTCCTGAGCAGCACCTTCAGTGACAAGTGTCTGCCAGTCTAATCCATTTAATGAAATCCAGGCAGTTCTTCTGTGATTCTGGTTTGTCGGTTTGTTATACAAAGAATTAAGTTCAATACTAAAAGGTTTGAGGGCTGGGACTTAACATGACTCAGGACTAGCTAAGGAGGATGCATTAAACTTCTTATATCCAGAGCCAGTTTCCACAGCTGACAGACTGAGGCCATCTTGCACCGAGATTATCTCAGGTGACATTTTTCTTTGTCCTGAATCTTAGGGGTCAGGGAGCAGCAAGTGCAGGTGCTGCTCCAAGAGGAAAGGCAAGCTGAGAGCCAAGGGTGACAAGAAGGCAAGCAGAGGCAGTGGCCTCACTGAAACATGCTGTGTTCCCACAGGATCCAAGTGAGAAGAGCAAAGCAGGTCCATTGACAGTAACCATGGTCAGCCAAAAGTCAGGTAGGCGTAAGATCAAGCCTAGAAGTCAAGTCAGTGGGTCAGGAGCAGGGAGGGAGGTACACTGGTTGGCACATGCGTATCCACAAAGCTCAGCAAGGACCAAAGGCAAGGACCTGAACTTAAAAGCAAGTCCCAGGTGAAGTAGATGAGGACCCAACAAGGCTTCTCACAGATGTTTCTAACCACAGCTCTTTCTCACACAAGTCTGTTCCAAGGCTGAAGAGCTGGCCCTCAGCACAGGTAGCCAAACCCCTAGAGAGCCTGTTGGTGCACTCGGGGACATGACATAAACCAAAGCCTTCCCCCATTCAGTGCTCTGGATGGTAGCCATGGATCTACGCAAAGGTAAGATTCCTTGTTCATGTCTGTTTCCTTAGTCCAATTTTTTCATGTCCAACTGCGTGAATGCTGCCAAGATTTACTAAAGCAAAAGGAAATTTTTTTTTTGCATATTTAATTCCTCCATTGCTTTGTTTGTGCTGCAGGATGAGAGGCTCAGGGAGGCCTTCTCTGCTTATGGCGTGAAAACAGCACCAAGCTCACTGTCGTCAAGAGGCTGAAGGTTCCCATCAACTTGCATGCACTGGTCCCAGTCCCTGCAGTGGGATGCTATGAAGAACTTTTAGTCCCCATTGCCAGCTGTCATACTTGTTTTCATGGCGTTAATCAGAAACTCTGTTTTGGAAGTCCTGACTGCTGCGCTACTAGAGAGGGACAAGCACTGAAGAATTCAGTCTACAGACTATCATTCATAAAAATACTTTGTACAAATTGGTGACCGGGCCCTTATTTCTGTCCGCAACATAGTCTTCCACATGTCATCAGGAAAAACACTCGACAAAAAGACTGCTTCATTAATTATTTGACTAGAAGGATGACGGACACACCTAAGAAAGGCCTATAAGCCTTTCCACCTCCCTTACTCCTAGGTTGTAATTTTTTAACTAAAGAAAAATTCAGTTTCCTTTGGTTTAGCAGTGCAAAGTGAATCAGTTGATTGTAAATTCGTTACTGCCTGATAGGAGATAAACATACCAAGGAGACCATTTTATTGGTCTCTGATAAATCACTACTAGAAGTGGATTAGGAAAACACTGGTGATGTTGGAACCTCTGTTACAGGAAGACA